TAAAAAAATTTGTATAAAGTATTCTGTACTACACCTATTACTATCTAGCAAGTAGTCTTATTTATTAGTATTTAGTAGGTACCCACTTCTTGAATCCGTAGTGCACACTTTCAATTTCGGATTACAAACTTTGTGTCGRGGTTCACTAAAAAATAGGGMCGGGTTGCCTGTTGGTATATAGTATATATACCACGCATCCTTTTCTTTTTATCCGTCGTATAAGGGCTGTCTTCCAAATATAATTTATAAGGTGTCGCGGCCGGAATGTTGTATATATATAATATATTATATTTAGCTCGTGTAGAACAAAAACACTTTTGAAACACTGTTTTTATTCCCGAAAATCATGATGGTGGGGCGTGGTTACTTCCTCATCTGAAACTCTCGCAACTGAGCGGCTATTAATAGTATAGCGTTGGATTATGGCTTGTTCGAAAGCACGCTATCTAAGGTCTAAGGTTTTTGTCATGACTAGTTCAGCTCACACGGCAAGAAGGTCAATGGATATCTTGCGTGAAAACTTCCCCGAACGGCTCATCTCTCTTAGAGGTGATCTTCAGTGGCCAGCACGATCTCCAGATTTAGCCCCATGTGATTTTTTCCTGTGGGGCTACCTAAAATCGTTGGTGTACATGGATCGTCCAAAGACCCTTGGTCATCGCAAAAACAATGTTCGTGCTGCTATTGCCGACATAAACACAGATATGCTGGAAAAAGTGGACAACAATTTCAAATTCCGACTATCTATCAGTGCATTGACGAGAACGGTGGCCACCTTCGAGATGTCGTTTTTAAAACCAAATAAAATAAAACTTTAAATGTATAMCTCTATACACAAAACARATAATTAAATCAACATTGCCTATAATTTTTGTGTTATGATTTTTTTTAAATAAGGAAGTAACCACACCCCACCGTGTATTTACGTATATTACCTATATAAACTTGAATTGCATGTAAAAATTACGAACATACCTAATGATGATTGCACCGATAATTATACCTCGATGATAGTTTTATTTAAGTGTTAATATAGTACCTACCTATAGAAAAATGTCACTTTCCAAACGAAGAAAGTTGGCTGACGGACTGTCTATACAATTTGCAGTGTAACCGTATAATATTATTATTATTGGTACCTGTGGAATTTATTTAGAAGATGTATCCATATCCTATACCAACTATCCTGTGGAACGTCAAAAATCTTAATCCCGTAAGTAATTATTCCATTAACTGCAGTTATTATCAATTATTTATTAATATCACGATTTAGGAAACGGGTAAAACTACGTTACGTAAATGGCTATAGATGRCTACTAAACTGCCTACCTACCTACATATATATAACAACCAACCTTTACAAGTCTATACAGTTCATATGCACTAAGTTTAAACGTTGTTATTAGTTGTTAGTAGGTAGATACTAGATATTTAGTATTATAGTAGGTATTCAACAATTTTACCATCAATTGTATTATATAATATAACCAATAGAACTTAAGGTCTACAGAAATTATGAACCTTGTAATTCGATAAAAGTGCCTATATCCAGATTAAATATTACCCATATACCAATAATATTGTATTAGGTACTATACCTACCTTTAAGTAGTAATAGTAATTATAATTATAATTAGGTACATATATAGTAATTAACCAATAGATCGTCTGACTACTGCGTCTTTGATGTGGAGGAGGTATTACCTATATATCATAAAATTATTTAGTTTGAAGTGTATTGAGGCTGGTGATCTTGGTACTACCAAATTGGTAGTGAACTGTGGACATTTTCAGCTAGCACACTTATATTATGATCTTATACTTGAATTATTTTGGAGTTCTGGTGCATTTGTCATAATTCTAAGAACTTTGTTTGGAAAATTTGGATTTTTTTTCATGTGTATAGCTGTAAATAGTTAATAAGTATAAAAAAAAACAAAAATTAAATATCTACTTATGAGTACAAATATTACTTTTATATTTTTTAATCATAATTTGCTTTCTCAATTCTTGGCATATTTTTTTTATGTRAATACCTACATAAAGACGGATATCGATATTAAAAATATAAGATTTAGGTCAGGGTWTAAGCATACGCGTAGAATAATCTGTATCATGTTTTTTGTGTTTACATCAAAAAATTGTCCAGACTCCAGAAAGTTATAAAATTAATCATTATAATTGCGTCTGTATTATATACTTGACTGAAGCAAATAGGAAAATGAAAGAAAGAKTAATTTTTAATATATTATAATATGTTAAATAATAAATATACAGAATGTAAAAGAAAGACATAACCAAAAAAAAAATATATAAAAATTATGCTAATTCAACGTATGACAACAATAAATTATTAATATTATGTGATAACTGATATGTAAATTAGTAAAAAATTTAAGAAATATAGGTACTCATATAGGCAAATTCTTAAAAATCATATTTTTTAAAAAGTTATTACGTTCCWAATTGATTTAACCAAAAAAATATTAAATTTAAAAAATAAACTACTTGGCTTAGACAAATCTTTTAACCATCAAAATTGTTCTTATAATCAGATTCATGAAAAGGCTATTTTGAATTTATCCAAAAAAAAATTTATTAAATTAAATTTTTTATTTTCAGTACTAAAAGATAAAGATAAAAAATTATTATTATTTACCYGCTTCGAGTCAAAGCAGGTAAAAAWAAAWTTTTAATCCAAAAAAAGCACTAAAAATTAAAAAATCGCAAAAAAAAACGGAATAAAATTTTTAATTTGAATTCTCTATATCATGAAACATATTTTAAGCTTACTCTGATATTTTTTAAGCATCTCATAAGAAATTTACATATGCCATAAAATCTCAACCCTGTTTATTACCATTAAGTTGCATGATAGGTTAATTGACGATTCACCATAGGCGGAGATGGGGGAGGCTTAGGGGGTAATAGTACCCCTAATTTTAAAATGAGCACCCTCAAATATTGTTCGTGTTTATGTATCAAAATCTTCTTTAAAAAAAAAAAAACAAGTGAGAAAATGTATATAGCTTCAATCTAACCCTTAGTTTTTTTTTAAATTTAAATTGAGCCTATGCGATTCACCATAATTTTTTAACTAATGAATAACGAAGGTAAACGTGATCTAAGCGTAAATTTGACATGTTACGCACCTATAGACTRAGAAAACACATATATATCTACGTCCTTTTAATATGAGTGAAATGTCCTATGTGATAAAATATAATGGTATTATCTTGTCTGATTATATTATGATGAATTGATGACATTCAAACGGTTTTAAATCCATGGATGTTCGCTTTCTTATGATAATTTGTTTTATTTTATTTATCAATAAAAATACAAATATTTTAGGATCTAAAACCATTATATAACACCATCATATATATTTGTACTATATAAAGAATTTCGTAAATTTTCATTGGTGTTTAAATTTTTAAACGAGTTATGAGCATTTTAAAATTTAGGTTTACGCATGCGTTACTGAATGTAACCAATATGTCTATTACTCACTTTGAAATAAAAATATCGATAACAACCTATGAGTAGCACAAGATGATTATCAGGTTCTCTTGTCTTTAAGTTTGACATTATATGACCTTTCGATTGGTCAATTCGCTTTAACATTAAAACTAACGAAACTGTATTTTCTCAGTAAACTGATGAACATAATATAAACTTTAATTTTTCATACTTTTTTAAGGTGAAGATGCAAATTGGATGTCATCTTAAGTGCATCATCTTATATATTTGGTGTGGTGTTATATTTTTTAATAATTATTGTTAATATAATAATGTGTTATACGCATTCATAGATTGTCGGATTTAGAGTTTTATGAAGCAAACTTATAAACATTTATTGTAAACAAGTTATTTTTATGTGTGGTATTTATTTTTATGAAAAACTTTGAATAGTCTCAACAAGTTATTATATACTAAATTTATATTTAAATTAACTATATATATACWCACATTTCTAAAATTATTTATATTATACATATATAATATATTGTAAAATATATTTGTATATCATGTGTTAGCACTTAGCAGTTTTTACCTTATTCCTTGATAAATGTTCGCATAAATTAAACATTTCATTCCTATAAAGCAGACTTTAAAATTAATAATGTAATTTAAAATTTCCCAACTAAGTTTAGTGTGGTATATATATGGCGTGTATGTCTATTTAGAATAAAACACCTTTTAATAAATCCACATCTGCATCAATAATATAATATTAAGCAGATAATACCTATATATAACCATCATATATCCACAATGGATTGCCTTATACTAATTACGAATTTTAGTATGATAAATAATATCAAATGTTTTTTTGAGAAACAAAAAAGGACCATAACTCACAAGATGGCTCACGTGACTGGATATATATTGTACGAATGAATTATGTGTGTAATTTGTGTAAATATATATTAAAATTATGTCTATACATCCATTTCGCAGCACATCATATTGGTTAAACATGTTTAACATAAATCTACTCGTATAGGTTATAGGTAGGTAACCATATAATATTACCTATGAATAATAACCAATAACTAATAACGATTTATATATATATATATATCGTCAATAAACACAAACAGCTATATTATTGTATTACATTTTGTTTTTGAGTTTTATTGAGATAAATTGAAAATGTTTGCTTTTGTATACTGCACGTGGTGTGCATCTACATCCGCGAAACACTTAATATAACGTATATAATAATAACAAAAAAAAAAATGATAATAATAGTAATAATAATAACGATGACGATGATGATGAAAATATTAGCTGTAAATAATAATATAATGAGTGTAATAAAATATAATATATTGGATACGATCGACCGTGCTGAACCATAATACCTATATGTCACACATACCTATACGCACACGGTATACTATCATACGAAGTTATAGGTATATGTGAAAATATATAAGACGTTATCCAGCCGGTTCGCGCAATATATAATATATTATGTTATATTTATGTACACRTCAGTATAATATTGTAATAATAATAATAATAATATTGAATAACGACCGGAAGCAGCTGTTTCGGCTCCACGGTGCAGACAGTGTTACAGTTGTACTGCATTAGACGGTGACGGTTGCTGGTGGGTGAGACGAGTGAGATTTTCTGGATGGGTTTCGGATTCAGCGCGGTTGCATATTGTAATAAAGCGTTTTCGGACGCGATACATTTTATTTCTTGTAATCGCCRTGACCGTGTCCGTAGGACGAACCGGACAGCGAAGATCCACCGTAAGAGGACAGGGATGACGAGAGTCCGTGAGACAATCCGTATGAAGATCCGTACGACGGAGCGGAGTATCCGTATGAAGATCCGTATGACGGAGCGGAGTATCCGTATGAAGATCCGTACGACGGAGCGGAGTATCCGTAGGAAGATCCGTATGACGGAGCGGAGTATCCGTAGGAAGAGCCGTATGACGGAGCGGAMAGTCCGTATGATGATCCGTAGGACGGAGCGGAGTATCCAAGAGATCCGAACGATGAAGCGCCAGAGTATCCTAGAGATCCGTACGATGAAACGGCAGAGTAAGACGGTGCGATGACGGGAGTCGGGACGGAGACTGGCACGTGTTGTTGGATTTCTACTGGGTACGGTTGTGGGACGGAGTATGGCACGGCGCGGCTGACTGGGTATGGGACTGGGTGTGGTACGCTGACTGGTACGCTGCGTGGCACATCAACGGGGTATGGGCGGTCGACGGTCACTGGGACTGGGTGTGGTACGCTGACCGGGACGGCTCTTGGCACGGACACTGGCACGGGATGGGGCACGGACACTGGCACGTGACGGGTGACTGGCACGGCGTACGGTTGTGGCACGGAGACGGAAACCACCTGATCGGACTGGCTCACTTTGACTGGTACTGCGTTGGACGCGTAACCCGAACCGTAGCCGGAAGACAGACCGTAACCGGAGGCGTAGCCGGAAGACAGACCGTAGCCGGAACCGTAGCCGGAGGACAGGCCGTAGCCGGAACCGTAGCCGGAAGACAGACCGGAACCGGAACCGTAGCCGGAAGATAGTCCGGAGTACGCCGACGGGAGACCGTACGACAGATCGGCGCTACGTTTGGCAGCGGTCTTGGTGTCAGTGTTCTTGACTGTGTCGGCTACGCAGAGCCCGATCAATGCCAGACCGACGATACATGCCTGAAAAAAGTAAAATCGTTTCTATAGACGACTGGTTGTCTACCATATTATGATGGTCAAACGGATGTGTTTGACGATGATGAGTTCAAACTATATAATGTTTAGGTAGACATGTATTTATGCTATGTTGTCTGAACAAAATTGATAGAAAATAATAACATATGATAAACAAGATTAAGTGCCCATCAGGATTTTCTATATAGTTTGAAGTTTTGCATACCGTCTCCTTGCAAAAAAAGACGGCAGTTCATTCGCACAGAGTTTTAAAGTCATAGATATATATGATGGGGGGAGGGGTACATAAAGTGCATGTTACCGGTATACTGTTTTCAAAAAAATAAATAAAAAATAACGATAAAAGACTTGATAGAGCGTTGGAGTCGGGTCTGCTATTTATTATGGGAAAAATGTGTCTAGTTATGTTGCAAAGTGGTCGTACCACAGGCAATACGAATAATAATAATAATAATAAAATAATTTTAGCGATAAAAAACGATTAACAAGTAAAACGATTAAGCCTATTTAACGATATTCAGATTTTGATCAATTATTTTTCATTTGAATAAAGAGGAAAACTTTACTTGGGTTGCMTAGAACTCCGATTTTTAAATTAACTTCAAATAATAATGTTAGAAAAATACTCAAAAATTTGTGCTAAATTTAGACGTTCATTACAACTTTTGAAAATAGAGTTTTTTGAATCGGAGTTTACGGCTATCCGTATAAAGTTTTCACATTTCAAATAAAATAGAAAGACGTCAAAATCCGATTATCTCACGAGGCTTAAGAGGTTTCCCCAGTGAGAATTGCCATCAGCTCCGAAACACATMGTGACCCGACGAAGAAGCAATCGAACGGGCCAATCATGTTACCCCTCTGTATTAGGTATATTTAATATGATAATACAATGATGAGTTTCGATCTTACCTTGAATTGAGCCATGGCGGTAGTGCAGTTTCAGACGAGATGTACAATTTGTGTTTTGTATTGGAGACTGCGATGAATCGTTGGAGTGAACTGATGCCAAACGGTTAGCCGGCCCTGGTTTATATACTGCTCGATTGTTCCCCGAAATTCGAAGTCTGAGTGCAATTTTCGTTTTTGCCCCTCCTGCCGTCTGATGGTAGTGACACTTTCTCCGCATCGAAAATCGGTCAGAATCGCGTGTTTATCATCATAAGCATACAGGATTACCTAWACCTWCATAAAAATGTTTAWWGTATACGACGTTATTGCGAAACTCGTGCGACGGCTTTTTTGGRMCMRKTTTTTTTTCCCCGTCCGCAAAGAAGACGTCGTCGTGTCGTATTAGAGATGCGCGCGGTGGCGGTCTTCATATCGCCGCCATCCCTCGAGACGCGCGTTAAGCAATACTTTATACTAATAATAATAATWATTATTATTATTATTATTATGTTGTGATAGTCTTGATTCTCAGTTTTCCAATTTTTTTTGTTTTATTATTTTTTTTATTATTATTATTATTATTATTATGCCGTTTCGAAGTCACCACGGTCACCGAGATCGACTGCTAACACATTCCTTTCGAAAACTATGCAGCAGCGTCTGTGTCAAATAGTATTTTTCAAACAATAGTCGAAGTTAAGCCAACCACATAATATCTCATTATGCTGTCGTTATAGGGTTCGGATTTGTATTAAATATAAACGTAATACATCGTACCTATAGAAAATAAAATGTGAAATCTCTTATACAGAGTAATTTTTATTCTTKTTCATAAGTAAAATAACAATTCAATCTGTTCGTTTCAATTTTAATTTTAAATCATTACTTAAATCAATAGACTCAGAAACAAAAAATCATGTTACTTATAAATCGCAGTAAAACAGAATGTTCAATTTGAAATACAAAAGTTTGTGTTGCTACAAGACAACAAATAACATTTTTCAATTATGCTAAAATTCATAATTTTTATAAATATATATTTTTAACTTAATAATTCAAATGAAATGACTTTTAAACTATCATTCCATATTTATATTTTATCTTTAAAAAATTAATGATCATATATCAAGCAATTATTCATAAGTACTTATACTATTGCATATTAATGTTCTCTATTATTTTATAATATTTCATCAAYAACATTCATATTGAAAAAATATAGGTGTAATAATAAATTATACATCGACATTCGAAAGTCTCAACAATAATTGTGTCTGACATTTGTGGATACCATTTTATAATACATTTACGGCCGTGTTGTTATGTTATATATATATACATTATATATTAATCACTAACCAGGTATTAAATTTTTCATAAAATATAAAAATAATTAAATTTTTATAACTAAGTGTTGCGTTAATAAACATAAATTTTCAAATATAAAATGTATAAACAAAAACGGTATTATTTTAATTTTTAATCCCTGGAAAATAAAATGCTAATATCACTATAATTTGACTTAATTTTTCTTGCCAAAATAACACTAAAAATTTCTTTAAGTCTCTATGATTATTTTAGTATTAATTTATTATATTTTGTTATATTCATAGGTAGAAAATATTTTATTTTTTATTTTTTTGATACGTAGGTATATTTATATTATAATAAATAAGTTATTTTTAAGGTTTCTGAGTACTAAGTAGGTAAGCAATATTAATTCTTAAGGTTATACAAGGTAATTCAAATGATGAAGGTACTCGCTTGTTGAACTTAACGCAAGATAACGTTAATTATTATTTTGAGAGATTTGTGATCAGTAGCCAAATTTAATATGCATTTCTTGTGGATTTATCGTTTTTCTTCAGTTTTTTTGCCATATTATTGAAACCAAAATAAAGTATGAGCCTAAAAATGTATTCCTAAAATTTAAAATATTTTATAACTCAAGTACACTTTATAAGCACTTTAAACTTTAAGCTAAATTTCATATCCATAATTTGTTGATTTTTTTAAAAAGTTTAAAAATAAAATAACATATTTTTTTTTATTCAAAATAATATGATCGTCTTAGAATTGGAAATAAATATAAGATATCTGACATACCTATTCTTTGATTTTATTATATTAATTTAGCTAAAACAATATGATCCACTTAACCTGTTAAACAAATTATGCTATATTTTTGTTTAATAATTAAAATAATTATTCTTGATCTCTCGGTGGTCCTGTGATATCCAATCGTAATAAAATATACTGTACTGTTCTTGACTTAGTCATGTACGCAGGTAATACGTATTTATAATTTATATTAATATGATGATTGTAAAATGTTTACGCCAACTCAAGAAAAGTCTAGAAATATAGTTTTGAAGAAGGAATTATGCCAACTTCTAAGTTTTTTATTTGAGTTAATTATTACTTATTATTATTATTTAATGAATATAAAAAATATGCATTATAAAAATTGTTATGAAATAATACCTAGGTCCTAGGTGCATATACAATAATAGACTTAATATAGTACTAAAGTGTACAGGAAAATACAGTTGTATTGGAGGTAAAATTTAAATACTAATTTGATGTATTATGTATAAGTGTAGGTCATATGTCCAAGTTGTTACAAATTCAAACTTCAATTACAATAAGACATAATATAATAGAATTATTGCTAACATATTAATTTTGTTGTTTTGCATTTTCACAAGTAGAATAGCTTTGAATTGTATTTGTAAAATTACGATACGTCTACTTATTAAATTCTTTAGTGGAGTACCTACGAAGATTGTTGGTTTTTTTGTGCCAAAAATTCGTTCCAAATTTTTTTCATTGCCTTGTAATTAATCGACTGAAAATTAAATACTAGTGGTACTTTTAGCGAGTTATTTTATAGTTTTCGCAGTCATAACAACAACAAAAAAGAAGCTCATTCTAAAAATGCTAAAACCTGTGAAATGTGTAAGCACCACACAGTTCTAACAAAATATTGACCATTTTTAGTTTAATCGAGCTCATAGTGGTGTAATGATGAATGCAAGGTTTATAATTATAAGTTGGATAGATAGGTTCCCACTAGATTTTTGCTTAAATTGTAGATATACCTCTATAGATACTGTAAACATATTAWATATGTAAAATATATATAAATAGCGATATTATGTCGTTACACTAACAGTAATCACCTACATAATTATTATAATAATTTTGTACTTTTATGTTAATGAATTAATGAATCAATTAATTATTTATTAATTTATTATAATGATGATGTTTTATTTCTCGCATATTATATTTTTGAATGAATAAATTAAACATTTTTTTTTTTCGATAAAATATTGTATCGTGCTTAGTATGGTCACTACAGATGAGTCGTTATAACTAAATTATAGGTAGATATTATGAAGAAATATTATAAATCATCATTCGAAATTTAGAAGTAGCGCTAGTGTATGTAAACAGTTTATTACAGAACATTTTTGATTCATMTATAGGTCTTATTTTGTACCAGTAGGTACAATAAATAATAATTGGTATTATTTTCAATTTTTACTATTTTATTGTGTCTAATAAAACATAATATTTTGAATGTTTAATGCACGCATTGGTRTATAGAACTCGTCGTATTTTTTACATGAATATATCAATAATATTTATTACTTGACGCTTCTATATTACGCGAACTTATCATAATATGTTTTTGTGTGCATAAGAATTATATAAATACTCGTACAACACTTTAAGTGCGTAGACGTATTTTTCCCGAAAAAAGATAATTCTACTAGGGCGGAAGTAGTTGGTAGACGGTAATAGGTACACATAAGGTATACTTATTGGATCGTTAGATAACAAGTATTAGCTCGGGGAATTATCGTGATCGTAGTCCGGTTTTATTGTCAAGTAAATATTCAGAGTGGATTTGACATTTCGGAGTAGTATTGCAGGTGGTCGCTGTGACAAGAAAGTTTAAAACGCTATCAGTATTTAATATTTATGAAATGCACACAAATGAGTATAGGTATAATATAATAGTATATTATTATGTGTCATAGTCTATCTAATAATAATACACATAATATTATATCGTAATTCATAATGTTTCATTATGTTATACAACACATCGGTTGTGAAGATCTCTCTTATATAGTCATTATATATTACCGTAGATAACCTAACCTATATAATACYGATGCGAAAAAAATTGAAAATGTTTAAGTCGTTTTCGCATATTTATATTATATTGATTATATTATACTATTATTATTATGTATTTTTAGTATTTATATATAGTAAGTAGGTACCTATACACAGTAGCGTGCGTAGGATTTTAGTTCGGTTAAGGTTTTACATGAGTAAATAATTTAAATAATTTGCTGAACATTTTTTGTATTATTAGTTACCTATAACAAATTATAATTTATATCTATTAAAAATTACCAACAATTTATGGACTCTGTGTATTGAAATGATGGTAAATAAGATTTTTTTGTAAAATGAAAAAATTTCAGGGGGTGTCAGAATCCTAGAACCCTACCTCTGCGTACGCCACTGCCTACACAATTTATTTATTATATTTGAATGTAGGTTTATGAGTTCTTATGGTAACTGATGAGATAGCTAGTGCACGTCAGTTATTATTTATTTTAGAAAACATGAGATGTCATTATTATCGCAATGCTGTTTGAAAAAAAAAAATATACTGTAAAAAATATTGACCTTATATATTGTTATATAATAATCTATAATAAAAAAAAAAAAAAAAAATGTCGCTTGAAACTACCTACGTTCATAATACGAATTCGATTGAAATACCTACTTTAGATTCGTTCAATGGCAGTAATTCCAGTTTTAAGCATATTACCTAATTTATCGCATTTTATACACCGTATACGATTAAATATTTAATATGTTTGTGTAGGTACATACACGTTCACACAACGTTGAAGATTATTACTGTTATTCTAATTAAAAGAATATCAATTTTATAGTGTATAACTAATTTATTTAAATGATTAGAAACTATTCGTGAGCATGTTTACATCCGAGTATCGATAATAATATCATATTATATATTGTACATTACTCGCAAAAATGTGTATGTATAATATGATCAAATTTAATCATTTTAGAAT